AATAGGGGTTTAAGCTCTTTTAGGCAAAGTCTAGGCTAGAGCAGAAATATAATAATTTCCCCCCACCCCTTAGTGTGTACAAAGCATTCCTTTAAGCAACAGCAATGGGGGCATGGTATTAGACACATGGTCCTGGAAACCTCTCTTGCTGTCTTACTTACAAATTCCACTGCAATGTTATCCAGCACTGCAGAGGTACAAGGAAAAGACTGGATATCTGGAATCTCGGCTGCATTTTTATGTCCCAAGGGCAAGAGTAATGCTTTTTCTTTTTTCTACTTTTTTAAAAAAAGTTTATTTCTAGTGAGATTCCAAAAAAGCAGATCGCTATACTCTTGTGTTAAATAGAAATGGAAATTAACATGTTAATATGGCAGCCTCTCATCCATCAGAAGTGTGTTTGCAATGGAAATCAACAAGATGCAGGAAAATGATAGCTAAAGTAGTTAAGTGTATCCAACAGGTTCTTTGAACAGCCAGGAAGTTGCAGTTTACCAACTAATACTATTCTGCTAAGTGCAAACTCATCACTACAGGAAAGGCCTAATCCATGTATAACAGGTTCTGTGAATCTGAGGGACTGCTTTTGGTGCAACGTAGCTTCAGATACTGCTTTCTCTTGGAAGTCCAAACCAACCAACCAACCAACCAACCAACCAACCAACCAACCTACCAACCTTCCTACTAACTTCAGGGAAAGTTGCTTCTAATTTATTTCAGTACAAAAGAGCTAAGAATCAAGCTTAGCCCTATTTAATGAACTTTAAAGATGCACCAGCACCCATCTTCCTCAATGCACAACCCAAATTATGTCTGTGATATGACCTTTAAAATATGGATTGGATATTCATTGCTTAGACAGATCATTTATGGACTTATTTTAGACAGTGACAATACAAATGAGACTGAATGAAAATATCACTTTTTAAAAATTATATATCTGTAAGCTCATATTGATACTTGTTTCAGTACATTATGAACACCTTGTATGGACAACCAGGATCAGTGATTGTATCTTGTTAGGCAGGTAGGCATTTAGATGTATCACTCTCTGTATTAATTAGCAGCAAAGTTTTGCACTTTGCATTGAGGATACTATAAAAGAGAGCACTTGTGCTCTAACAATACCTAGACTTCGTAGAGTTCTGTCTATAATGCTGTTGGTAGACAAGACTTGGTAACCCTACAATTCTATGATTTGTCAAACATACCGTAGATGCCATTTTCCATTCCCTTTTAGCCTCAGCCTAGCTATATATTGAAACTGTTGCAGCCTGCAAAGGCTTGCTCATATTCAAGGATACTGATGTCTGAACTTCTTCCATGAAAGGCCCGTTTGAATCAAATTCTTTCAAAAATACTCTGAGCGTAACAGAGGCAAATATTATATTGCCAATATCATAATGTTTGCAATCACATACCAGATGCTATTTGTCCCTACAGATTTGGAAGGTTTTAATGGCTTACAGAAGGCCTTATGTTTCAACAGAAGCTTAGCTTTCATCTCTCATGTAATTGCTATATATGCTTTCCCCTCCCTTTTTTATTTTCATATTGCAGACTATGTGTTGACGCAGTATGGGCTCTTACTTCAATCCTAAACTACTTGGGTTTGACAGGTCGGTGGGGAGGGGAGGCATACAATGCTATCTAATGCACTGCACATTTCTGTTCTATCATGGGTTATTGGATTACTAGGTTGTTGCATTTTTAACATCACATATCACTCCGCAGGTATAATTGGTTTTTATTAACTTTCCAAATAGCCCTTAATCCACCACACTAAAATCTCAAATGATTGGGCTGAAGATGAGCATCATGGTGGTGGAAGGTACAAGAGACAGGAAGAAACTCTTTTCTACAGACACTGTTGCTTTGGGGAATATTTGCAGATGTCAGGTTAAGGTTGCTCGAAAGTTCCTTAGACCCAGAAGGGTAGTTGTGGCAAATATCTAAAAACGCCAGCGTAAAGCTGTGTAACATCAGCTGCAATCCTGCACCTTCTTACCTTGGAGTAAGCTCCATTGAACTCAGTAGGGCTGAGTTTGCGTTACAGGATTGTGCTGAAACAGTCATTATGAAGTTTCTTTTCCACAACATGCCTGTGAGGTAGTTGAACATGGAATGGGCAGGACCTAAAATTCTCAAGGAATAGGAGTCTGAATGCATATGTTTCATATAAAACATGACTTACTCAAAGTGCATGCATTCTAAACTGGAACAAGATGGAAGCATAGGAATATTTAACTATACATATCCCCTGCTTTTGATTAGTCCTTGGAATGGAGGAACGATCTTTGGTTTCCATCTATTACAGGCCCTGCTATAACTTTAGGTGAAAAGCTTTTTTCTTTCTTTTAGGAGGCTTTGCTGACATTCTAAACTGTTTAGGTACGTAATGTTCATCTCTCTTCTTAAATATTGTGCGCTCTCTCTCTCTCTCATTTGTTTTGCATTCCAGTGTAACCTCTTCACTGTCCTGCATAGCGATTAGCTTACCACACTCCACGAGGAGATCTACATTTAAGATATTTTCAGTTCAGGGTGAAAGCATATGACACATTTCTGCTGAATTAAGGTTGCGATCCTGTACACAGATAGGCAGTATAAGTCCCACTGAAGTCTATGGCATGCAGGGTTGCATATGCTTCTATTCAGCACTGCATGTGTATGCTTTGTAAATGCAGATTTCCTGTATTATATGACCTCTGGAAGGGCAAATATGTTTCGTACTGGAGGTCTTATTTATTTTATTTTGATTAATAGGAAGACTGAAAAGGCTTCCAACACTGACCTTCTTAGAACAAAGCCAATTAATTCTAACATCTAAGAGATCATAATAGTGCATCTGTAGAAAGAAAGAAAGAAGCATTGCTTTGGCAATGTGTCTATATATAAAATGTATCAATATCTATCTATCATTAATTCAGCTTCCTCTGTCAAAACAACATCTTTGCTCTACTAAAACACATGGAGGATGAAGTGGTTCAGTCATGCAACTCAAATGGAGTGTAATACTTCTGAATCCTGCAGGTTGTGAAACAAATATAGGTTTCCAGATATTTGCATATGACACCTCTCATTATCTCAGAAGAGTGCATTGTTCATTCTCACACAGCAGGATAGATAACAATTATTTCCTCCCTGTGATTAGTAAGATATTTTGAGAGAAGTATGTGACAGTGCTGGCCAGGTCATTTTGGAGACAGACCCTCACACATACTGCAATCCCACAGACCTGGCAGTATGTCCCACTGAACTTAGTGAGGTTTACCTCTGAGTAGACATGCACAGGATTTCACTGACAATCTCATCTTATGATGTGCAAAGTTAACAACAACAACCATACAAGAGAACTTTTGTGGAAAGTTTTTTTCAAAGCTGAATTTCATAGCAGGGTATATATAGATTGCTACTAAATCTGTTGGGTATAGTCAGAATAATTCACCTAGCACAAAGTGATTCTGAAAGTTTAATGATGATAGAGGCATAATCACAACATTGCTCTTCTCAACTTGCATCCTTCCCCCCCCAAGTCGGAAAATGAAATATTTAGTTTCGTGGAGTACAAGTGCAACCCTCGCCATCACCACTAGTTGTCGCATTCCTACCAGTTTGAGCACCTGGCGTTTTCAGCACTGCGGTTACAGGCAGAGAATGCAGTGCTAATTACACCGAGTAACTCATAAAGCTGTCAGAAGTCCTTATACTCTGAATTAAACAATTAGAAACAGAAAATAACCAGAGAGAGAAAAGTATGTGGGGATATCCCAAAGGAGGACTTTCTTCTCTCAAGCAGGACTCAACGCACATGCCAGATCTTATCATTGCAATCTCAAATACCCATACACCCCTAGCTCAGTGGTTTAGAAAACAGCCTACCTGAAGAATACTATGGTCTCCCAAAGGTAGACTCCAAGTGCATTGAGGTTACACATTTTTTCAGATCGGATGAATTTGTAGTCCACACGTCAGAACAAGCGAATTGGCACTTAGAAACAAAAATAAATAAATAAATACCAGACGGGATAAAATGGTGGAAAATATCCTCTTTGTTAATTTTGTACACAATCCTTGCAGTTAGAGGTGGCGTGGGGAAGAGGAGGCAGTTGAACATAGACGGGCGAGGCGCTGGGATTTCAGGACCCTGGACAGCAAACCACCCCCCACGTTTCAGCACCTTGGAGAGAGAGAGGGGGAAATGGACATTTAAACTCCAGCGCTGCTCTCGGTGTTAACAGCTTTGCTTGGATGACCAGATCCCTGCAAAGAAATCTTCCTTCCTTCCTTCCAGTAGGATCCCAGTGCGCGCACCGGGCTTCTGGACCATGCAAAATGCTACGAGAATATATTGGCCATGTGGGGGGAAACGGGGGGTGGGTGGGAGTAAGAAACCCAACGGATAATCTCCTCGGGCGCCCGGGGTGTCTTCCTCAGTTATATCCAAGGGAATTTGCAATCCTCCTTATGCAGTTGCTGCATTGTTCCGGAAACGTTGCTTTCCCGGTGGGTCGACGTTTCGCTGCTGTCGATTCCAGCTTCCCGGGATCTTTTCCCCACGAATAAGTTATTATTGCTGCAGGGAAGGTGTCCCATCGCTCGGGGCGAAAGTGGGGAAGGAAGCTAAGGGCAAGTTTCATGGGGCTGGGATTCCCATGGTGATCAGCGAGGAAGCCGAAGAGGAAAGTCTCTCAGTGATCTCTCGATCCAGTCCATTTTCCTCCTCGCCCCATCTTCACCTCCATAGAACTCGCCGGATCTTGAGACTTTCTTGCTGCATTAATTTACTAAACTAAAAAAAAAAAAAATGGTGTGTGTGCGGGGGGGGGGAGGGTTGGAGGAAATGTTTTTCTTAAAAAAAAAGAAAAAGAAAAACCCCAACAATAAGCCTGCCTCTGTAGAGTCCTCGCTCCGCCCACCAACTCGTCTCATTGGCTAGCGAGGTTGAAAAGCTACACTCTGTTGTGCTTGGATCAAACGCCTGTTCTTCGGCAGAGGAAGTTAACCTTTAAAGTGCTGGTGGCTTTTCCTCCCCCTTTTCCTCCTTTCAAAAGCACCGGCTTCTAAAAAGAAGTCTTCCAAATCTCTCTTTGACACGACACACTCCCAACAAATGTAACACAATCGCTGGGTGTCGATCCACGGAGCGATCTGCGCGCTTAACAGCTTTTCTTTTGTTCTCCTCCTCCTCCCTTGACTTTTAAACAGAGTTGGAAATGAAACAGCAGAGAGAGGGAACCCACCAAAGCGAGACAGGTAAGGAAAACTTGTCAGTTTCAGATCACAGAATGAATAGGGCTAAACTTCACCATCTTTTGCTTATCACTAAACGGAAAGCATGCCGATTCCTCCAAATCTAGAAAGAAAGATTCGACTTCTGTATTTTTTTAAAAAAATTAAAGCCTGAGATTAATAAGAGCTTGAAATTCTGTCTTTAGGGGCTTCTCTGCTTCCTCCCCCATGCAATTTGATTGATCCTTCTATTTTTAAAATTATTATTAAAATGTGCTCCATGGAACAGACATTTCTACCTGGCTTTCACATTGCCTCTATTATTCCCATTCAGTCTGTGGCAAAAAAGTAACTTGCTGATATTCAGTTAGGCTTGTTGTCAAGCAGGCGATTCATACACACACACCCTGGCATTTTTTTTTTTTTAATAGACCATCTTTGCCTATCTTTGCTCGTTCTCCTGGCTTATGCCTGTCTCTGTAGAAATTAATCTACAATATAGCGCTTCCTAAATGTTTAAGAAGGCATTTGCACATTTAACCGATACACAGTATTGGTTGTGAAACTGCATTCACTCTTTCCTATTTCCCCAGACCCTTGAGTGGCATGAACGTCAGCCTGTACTAGCTCTGATGTTCGAAGAATGATGCCCACTTACTTTGAAGTGACATCACTAGGTTGCTTGCCCAGTCACAAGTAATTTGCTATTCTTCAATACAGCAAGGGTTATGCATGTAACTTCCATGTGATCCATTAATGACTAAACTGAGAGGGTCCACGGGAGCCCTAGGCAGTAGGCAATATGTTTTCACAGTTGGATGTCAACTCACTGACAACAAGGTTGGCAGAACTCTATAACCAAAGAGAAATAATTAAATCAGTGGGACTTAATAGGTAATATTAAGTGCTTTCCTGTTGATTTCCTATATACCAAAGAGACTTCAGCATGCAGTTCAATCCTACGCATATTTGCACATAGAAGTAAGTCCCACTGAGTTTGATGGGGAGTTCTCCTATAGGAAGCATATTTTAAATGCCAATGTGTTCTACACTTCAGCAGTGTCTTTAATATTTACAGGCATGCTCCAGCTGAAGTTATGCCCTGTTGAGTCCCTTGGATTTCAGTGGGAGAGATTAAAGTGTTTAACTCTCCTATTTCAAATCACAAGGAGCTGAAGTGCTTAACTTTGTTGGGATTGTGCAGAACTCCCCCCCCCCCCGAGCTTTTTATATTGAATATTATTGCATTTCTTGCAAGCTGCTTAAATCATAGGTAGGTTGTAAATGTTTGTGTAAATAAGTGAATGCCTAAAGGGAAAGGGGCCTATTGAAACAGTTATCCTATTGTGGTTTTTTTAAAAACAACAACAACAACATATTTTTATTAAAGATTTCTTGGTTTACAGAAGTATGTGCAATGTCTCTTTTTTCAACTTTTTTCCTAATCATTGTGGGTCAGCTACTGACAGCAAACAGCTGATTTCTGTAACAGAGGAAGAGCATTTAGCAATTTTGCCTAGACCATTAAGGTGAATTTGAGCAGGATTCCTAGATCCATTAACTGTCTCCTGTCCAACTTCCAAAGCTCCAGATATTCCCTTTCGACCTGAAACTGAAGAAAGATGGTACCAGACAGATATCTGATGGGGGAGCGTTCTATAGCTGTGGATCTGTAATAGAGAAAAAAAGAAGCCTCAATTGTTTGCCACTCTATGCTTTATATTTTGGAGTGTGAGTGGGATGGAGCAGGCGGAGATGAAGCAGTGCCAGGGTTGCAGATTGTAAAATGGGGAGTTCCTAAACTGGGGAGCAGGGACATATTCTAAGACATGGGTAGGCAAACTAAGGCCCGGGGGCTGGATCTGGCCCAATCGCCTTCTAAATCCAGCCCATGGACGGTCCGGGAATCAGCATGTTTTTACATGAGTAGAATGTGTCCTTTTATTTAAAACGCATCTCTGGGTTGTTTGTGGGGCCTGCCTGGTGTTTTTACATAAGTAGAATATGTGCTTTTATTTAAAATGCATCTCTGGGTTATTTGTGAGGCATAGGAATTGGTTCATATATCCCACCCCCCAGAATATAGTCTGCCCCCCCAAGGTCTGAGGGACAGTGGACCGGCCCCCTGCTGAAAAAGTTTGCTGGCCCCTGTTCTAAGATGACAAATTCGCTTTGCTGAGCCAGGGAAATTCTGTTTCCAGGTTCCAGCAATGGCTAGCCAGATGTCTCTGCCTGCCTGAAGGTGTTAGCCAGCCTCTCTTGTATCCACAATCAGTACGCAGAAGATTTGTTTTGCTATTATTGGGGTGGGGGATGACACGGACTTTATCTAGTATTGTTCTTGTTGCCACCAACAGCAAATGAAGAGAGAGGGAGGTAGCAAGGCAGCATGTGCCTTAAGGAAGAGGGAAGAGACAGACCAGAGAATGAAAGAGTGGGCTTGGGGCTAGGGTCTCAGGGAGGAAGATCTAAGGTAGAAGGGAGTGAGGGCCCAGGGTGGGGCATTAGGACCCTGAGATGGGATCTAAGGGGAAAGAGAACAAGTAGGGTCTGGGCCCCATAAGGGTGTGGTTAAAGGATAAGCAAGAGAGACAGCATGGCCTGTTGATTGGTGAAAGGGCATTGTGTGTATAGGTCTCTAGCATCTCCAGTTAAAAGGATCAAGTGGCAGGTGATGGGAAGGACCTCTCTGCCTGAAACCTGGGAGAACCACTGACAGTCAAAATGGACATGACTGGGCTTGATGTGCAAATAGGTTGAACTTGTAGAAGTACCTTGCTGGCCATGTATCTTGCTGGCACATCAGTGGAGCTAATTTGTGATAAGCATTGGGCATGTTGTTCAAAGACTAACAGAAAAGAAAAGGGGGGGACCCACATCACATCACTGGATGAGTGATGCCCTTGCATCTACCTAAATTACCTCATTGGACCCTGGCCAAATTGTTTTAGAATGGATCATAACTTCAATTGGGGCCTCCTTGTTGCCTCTCTCATGCCTTAAACCCATATCCTTTCCCTTGGATTCTGCAATTACATCAAGGGAATAAAGAAAAAGCAAGGCTGGGATGCAGTTACCCAAACTGGACTTGGATGTGGCATTCTTTGTGTGTGTTATTTTTTAAACACTCCTTGAGAGTGAGGCCATTGAGATTGAGATTCTTCCTTAATACATTGTAAGAAAATGGAGACCATTTCAAGTCCGACTAAGTATTTGACCAAAGAAGGAGGTGAGTAACCTTCTTCATCCGGGAAAGCTTGCAGAATTCTGTTTTCTTTTCTTTTTTGGGGAGGGGGGGAGAATCTATTTTTTTAGAATGGATTTAGAATTATGTTATCTTTTCCTGTGACATCTCCTTTTCCCTGCTAAATGAAATATCTAAAAATTATGTTGAAGCTCTCATCATTTAGTGGTATCTGCATATAATTCAAACTAAGTCTCCTAGAAGGGTCATGCACAGACAACACACAAAGTAAGTAAGTAAGTAAGTAAGTAAGTAAGTAAGTAAGTAAATAGTGATAACATATCAGAAGGCAAGATATGGAAACATCAAAACCAAAGGTGTTAACATCAAAAGGAACCATCAAGAGTTGCATAAACTTTGATTTACAGTGGTACCTTGGGTTACAGATGCTTCAGGTTACAGACGTTTCAGGTTACAGACTCCGCTAACCCAGAAATAGTTCCTCGGGTTAAGAACTTTGCTTCAGGATGAGAACAGAAATCAAGCGGTGGCAGCAGGAGGCCCAATTAGCTAAAGTGGTACCTCAGGTGAAGAACAGTTTCAGGTTAAGAACAGACCTCCAGAACAAATTAAGTTCTTAACCCGAGGTACCACTGTACAGTGATAGGAATGGCCAACACAAGTCTCCTCTAACCATCATTGGCCACTCATTTGAAGTCATCGAGAACTTTGACGGAATACTGACATTCAGTGTATGATAGAGGGATTTACTGACAGTTGGCCCCAGTGGCGTAGCGTGGGGGGTGCAGGGGGGGCCGGCCGCACCGGGCACAACATCTGGGGTTAGGGCAAATCCACGGGTTAGGGGGCGCAAATCCACGGGTTAGGGGGCGCAAATTACTTGCCTTGCCCCGGGTGCTGACAACCCACGCTACGCCACTGGTTGGCCCTAAACCTCTCCCACCTCTTTGCCTTTACCAAGTCTGATGCTAGTGTGTAGTCTGGACTCATTTATTCATTTAAAATATTTATATGCTTTCCCTGCTACAGATGTAGCACTCAGTGTGTGTGTGTGTGTGTGTGTGTGTGTGTGTATATATATCAGCAAGAATATTAAACAGCAATTAAAAGAAACATATAGACACAACAGATAGATATTAATTTAAACTAAATCATGCATGCAAGTGGTTGACCTGATCTTTCAAAGGATCTTGCCCACATTCTCTAACTCTACAAATTGAAAATCAACCCTAACAACAGGGCTGTTGTTAAAAGCTGTTAAAAGTACTCTCCTGGAATCATGACTTGAATGGATGCAAATGACTTACCAGCAAAGTGTCACAGTGGGCCACTAAGAGCTCCTATCTCATCACATCAGGCCCTTGATATACAGCTCCACTGGACAACTCCGTATGGATGAAATGGTAGTGGAAAAGTAAAATTTATTTGTAAACAAGTTCTGGAAGCAGGTTGTAATGGAAGTTGGTATTGATGGCAAACAGGTCACCTTGGATGCTAATTTAAGTCTCTTTCCCATTTTTATAGTGCTAATGCTGACCTTACTTCTCAAGAATTCATTCTATACCTGTTGGTTGCCACTCATCTAGTGATCTCTCAAGGGTGGGAGGGTGCATCTTGTTATTCTATGGATCTATGGTTTAAAAAACACATGCCCATTGCCATTTCTGAAAAATGGACTCAGTTTTTTTCTTTGTGCACAAATCTTGTGATGCTTGCTTTAATTTTGCTGTTGGAAGAATAATGCCGTTATAATGTGATGCAAAGCCCCGTGCCTTTGCCTCTGTCGTTTGATTTCAAATTGCATGGACAAAGAAAAATG